CTATTTAGTATTACTAAAGTTTCACGGTTATATTGTTTGTACTCTAGTTGACATCACCTAAATTAGTTATCTATTATATAGTTAAATACAGTATTATCTACATTTTTTTACTTACCAAAAATGAGTAGTTAGGAATGGAAGAAAAGGAGTAGTCCCAGCTGATTGCCGGTCTATAATTTCTTTACAGTCTATCCTAGAAAATATTTTAATCAATGGGTAAATCTATTTGCATGTGCAATGGTCCAATTTGTAAGTAAAGCAAGCATCCTTTCACTGAAATAATTGTAAAATTAAAGTGATTTTAATATCTATTTATCGAGTTGAATAAGATCAGTCTCGTTCTAACTTCGCTACTTAGGTTTTTCTTAATTAACGGGTATAAGTAGCTAACATAAGCTTTTAACTCTCAAGTTCTTAAAATTTTCACAATTTTCACAACTATAACTACCCATATATCTAGGAATGGAGCTAGAATTAATGTAGAATGATCTCGAATTAGTCCAAGATCTTCTATATCTTTCAAGGAATACTTACAATCCGGTGAGATAAAATCCTATAGTAGCAAGCGTTGCCATCCATGATAGAATATCGAGAAGCACCATGTTTAAGTTTTGATCGTTCCTCGTTCGTTCTTTCATTGATTCCACACTCTAGCGGTTTTACCACAGGCAACCCAAGCTAAATGCATTTATAAGAGAACTTGAGGATTTAGAATTTAGAAAAAAGTGAATAAAAGTTTGTCGACTTACCTGTCGTATCATTTTGTATATTTTGGACTCCTGTATGCAGTTTCAGCGAGTTTTGAAGTGTATTTAAGAAAATAATTGCAATACTAAGATCCATTTATTCTCTTATAAATGTAGTGAGCTTGGGTTGCCTGTGGTTTAACTATCGAGGCCCGGGGTGACTGGGGAGCTTGCGTACAGGGAGCCCAATTCAAAAGAAAGAAAGAAAGAAAGGAAGGAAGGAAGAAAGAAAGAAAGAAAGAAAGAAAGAAAGAAANAAGAAAGAAAGAAAGAAAGAAAGAAAGAAAGAAAGAACAATATACGGTTTTGTCAGAAAATCACAAAACTGGCAACTAGACGGAAATGAGGAAATGAGCTAATTTTTAAAAATTTTTTCGTCTTTCGTAAAATATAAGACTCTTTGTTGTCAAGTGGAAATCCCCACCAACCGAAATTTTTATTATAATTTCAGAATTGAAATATAGAATTAACGTGCTCTTTCAATAATAATAATAATAATAATAATAATAATAATAATAATAATAATAATAAAACTCTAACTAACTGCCTGGTATGTAAGGTTAATCTATATAATGAGTAAATTTATAATATAAAAATGGGAATCATACATCAAAACATACTGCCTGGTATGCAAGGTATCATAGATGGGAATCATAGATCGAAACATTAATAAAAAAATCTTAGTGCTTAGTATGTAAGGTTAAGTTATATTGAGTATAGTTACAATACAAAATATGAATATCATAGAAACATTTATAATTTTTTGGGGGTAGGGATGGAACTAGGTGATCGAGGGAGACCAATAAAAGGAGAAAAAACGCAAAACCCTACAGGTAGTCACGAGTATCGCTGAATTTCACATGATGTCATTTTTTGTCTCGCGCGGAATGTTCAGAATTCTTTCTGGTTGACAGAACATGGTAGTCACTGTTTGACCACCATTTGGAGCAGATGATGAGATTCAAAGACTTTTATCAGCTAGTTGGAGCCCAGCAATAGTAAGAACGAAGCGTACGGTGTACCGCACCGTGCCGTGCCGGTGAATAACCCAACTTCCAACATTCCTAGACTCTTTTAACACTTCTATAAAACCAAAATCAAATCCAGTTTGATGAATATAGATAAGCAAAATGATAGATATATATTGTCTTTTGTACATGGAATAAACAAGCTACTGTGTTCGTGTAATCATGAAATCTCTTGCTTTGCTTAAACACTGGGGATTCCTACATTATTAACGCTACTGTCGCTTGAGTTGGGAGTCCCCACCACCACCGCCACTTTTTTAATATGAAATAAACCAGTAACTGGTCAGAAAAAAGAGGCAAGAAAAGAGTAACAAAGGTACAGAGATCACAGCAATACTAGAATTTGGCTTTTCAATTCTACAGCCTTCTTTTGTCACGTTCCAACGATCTTTATAAGCGAAGCAATACTCGGAAGGTTGTGGTGGCCAGTGAAGGGGAGATTTACTTGGGCAGCTTGTAGGGTTACATGTCAAGTTTCCACGAATCATAGCACACCTATAGGCGCACCATATTTCGTCTTTAAACTTATATACTGGCGCTTCACAGTGGCATCCAACGACCAGCACGAGACCACCTTTGACTGTCTTCCTCAAAAATCCGCCTCCCTGCTCTCCGCCATAAGCACAACGGTCCAGATTCAAAAAGAAACGAACACCTGAAAGAGAGAGAGAGAAATTGTCCAATTTGCAGGAATTACGTTTCAGACCTTAAGGAATTTTAGCTCATATACAACCAGAAAACTCAGTGACATACCATTTGTTCGATTAAAGAAGTGCTTAATCTCTCTTTTCTCAAAAAACTCGCTGAGCTTCTTGTTTATTCCATCGTACGTGAATTCGACGCCGTTCACTTCAACTGACTAGAAAAAAAACACACATAAAAAGGCTTTATTATGAGTCGATCATTCGGGACAGCAGCCAAAAAAGAGCATGCGCATGTTTTAGAACCCCTCCGAATCAGAGCCTGCGTTTTTCGTGGTCAGCACAAAGAAAAGCAAGAGAAACGCGGAGTCTTGGAACAAGATTGAAACCCTCCTCCTCCCCTCCCCCAGTAATAAATACGCCACATTGCCTTGCATTTCCTTTGAAGTTTTAGGGCAACTGTGTGGTGAAATCGTGAATACCGCATTGGTTTTACTAAATTCAGTCATTATGCTCAGCAGCAAACAGCAATAGACATGCGTAAAAATGTGATCCGTGGAATTCCGTATTCATTGAGACAACTCTCTTTCACAATTCTTCAATTAACGCAAACCGGTTCCGTGGATAGCTGGAAACCTGAATTTAGGATTATTCTGGTATACTCGTCATAAAGTAAAGCTCGCAGCGGTATTCGGCTGGTTTCCAATAATAGCAAAAGTCACGGCGGCCATGTTGGATGATATAACAAAAGTGACTGATGACGAATCTTTTGGTCAAATTCATCCAACATGGCGGCTGTGAAAATCATCCAAAATATTCACCATATTACCTTGCCTTCGTCCAAGAATGTGTATTTCAGGTAGTGGTTTGGTAATCCTCCCCGTTCACACCTCCAATACCAGTACATAGTGCCAGAGGCCAGATACTGGTAGAGAAGAAAGCCGACTAATGCTAGAAATAGTAGTGCAAGGGTTCCGAGGCAGTAGATACCTGGAAAGAAGAAGAGTCTCCGTTAGAATTTATGAAATATAATCAGCTGGTAAATGAAAAGCAAGACAATGCTTGTTGGTCAACGGTCCACACCATTCGTGTCGGGGGGACCAATGCAGCTTCAGGGGCACACTTGCTGTCGTTGCAGTGCTGGCAGCTTTGCAAACTAAAGCATTTTCCCACGCTCCCTCCTCTGGGTTGTTTGATTCCTTAAAAGGTAAGTCAGCTGAGGCCCGGTTGCCATGGTTACCTCCTTGATTGGGCGTGGGCCGTCACAACCTGCGCTTACTCGGGTACCTAGCCCAAACTCATTTGTCGATGAATTTTAATTTGCTCTAAATGGTGTTCAAATAACTGCCATGTGCTGTCTTCCAGAAAGAATTGTATCATCCTCGGGAACTCAGGAGTAAAATTCTAGCGTTCGTTTCACGCTTTCACGAGCGACAAAATGTTGGGTTCCCGGGGATGGAATCGTATTGAAAACTTGATTGCGATTCAGCTGATGAACATTCCGCACGAGACAGGAAATGACGTCAAGTGATACCCAGCAATAGAAGCTTTATTTAATATTGAAATATTGATGAAGCTGCTATTACATAATTTTTGCAAAATGTATGGATACTCACGTCTCCAAGTCCTTTTCGAAGAATTTATCACCTGAAGCTTTAGATTACTCTCCATGCCATCCAAGATGGTCTCTACCTCTCTCGCCATCTGCTTGGTGCCTATCCCAAGTACAATACACACAAAACACTTGACAACATTAAGATCCTCGGGGCCTTTAGGTGTTCGTGGTTCCATTGCCATGCCTAGTAACGTATTGTCGTGTACGATCACACCCCCGAGGGGCAGGTGGGATTCTGGGATAGCTACTCCACGCTTTGAGCTTGAAGTATAGATTCTCTCGCCGGTCCGCACGCTTCCTTCTACCTGGACTCCTATCATTCCAATCACACAAACAGCATCGGTTTTGCCATAATCTGTGGGTTTGAAAAAGTAAAAAATATATATGATGAGTGGGGGAAGGATGGGTGAGAAATGGAATAAATAAATGATTGTAAGATGGGATGAACAGAATGCAAAAAACGAGTAAGTAATTGAGTTATGAGTTACTTAGAGTGCGAGTGATGGACAAGATAGAGTGTGCGTGAGATTGAAAGTGCGAATGAGTAAATGAAGCTGAGTAGTGAAGGACGGTTGGACGGAAAGAGGTATGGAGTGAAGTAGGTATAAATGGATTAAGACGAGGCAAGGCGGCAAGGCGGCAAGGAGGCAGGGAGGCAGGGAGGCAAGGAGGTAAGGAGGCAGGGAGGCAGGGAGGCAAGGAGGCAGGGAGGCAAGGGGGCAGGGAGGCAGAAAGGTAAGGAGGCAAGATGGGAGGACTGGGATGAAGTAAAGGAGAAAAGAGTGAAGTAGGTATAAATGGATTAAGACGAGGCAAGGCGGCAAGGTGGCAGGGAGGCAGGGAGGCAGGGAGGCAAGGAGGCAGGGAGGCAAGGGGGCAGGGAGGCAGAAAGGTAAGGAGGCAAGATGGGAGGACTGGGATGAAGTAAAGGAGAAAAGAGTGAAGTAGGTATAAATGGATTAAGACGAGGCAAGGCGGCAAGGTGGCAGGGAGGCAGGGAGGCAGGGAGGCAAGGAGGCAGGGAGGCAAGGGGGCAGGGAGGCAGAAAGGTAAGGAGGCAAGATGGGAGGACTGGGATGAAGTAAAGGAGAAAAGAAGTCAAAATCAAGATCAAACCAGTCCCTACTAGCTGTTGTTAATAACACAATTACTTTGTCATCTTACTTTTGTCATTCTCACTAGGAACTTCGGCCTCGATGTACGCAGACCTACTGATCACACCCGCCATGACGGCATCTTTGATGTTCTCACTACAAAGCGGCTCGATTTTAGTTTTTCCGTCCGAAGGGAAAAACCCCACCACCACCCCCTCCGTCAGTTTTAGGTCCTGTGCCTGGTCTGTCAGACGAATATGGTAAGCGATGTCTCCACGATTCGTCTGGAGCATGTACCCGAAAGTGAGGTGTTCGATGTTGGCACGCTGCGCTTCCAAATGATCCACCACGAGTTTCTCTATTGCTGCGATAGCAACGATTTGAGTTAGAGCTACAATAGCTTGTAAGAGGCATTTAATTATTACGAAAAGGGGAAAAGGGAGTCAATAAAATTGGTTGGGGGAGGTAGTATTGTTTTTGGAGGGTTGCTAAGAAAATACTAAATTTTGTGAAAATACAGGTTGGGCTTGCCAAGATGCTGGGCCAGGGCTACTGTAGGGATACTTGCGCGCCAGAAAGTGGCTCCAGAAAGTGGTCCCAGAGAAAAGCAATCGAGAAGTGGCACTCCCCAGTGAGAATAGAGGAAGTGATTAGGTGGAACTAAGGAGAGTGCATGAGGTAGGGAAACTGTCATGTTTAATCAAAAAAGTGGTCTTAGAGAAGAGCAAAAGAGAGGTGGCGCTCCCCAGTAGGAATAGAGGAAGTGATCTTGTGGAACTGAGGAGATAGAGTCAGTGCATGAGGAAGGGAAACTGTCATGTCTAATCAAAAAAGTGGTCTTAGAGAAGAGCAAACGAGATCTTGTGGAACTGAGGAGATAGGGTGCAGCAAAAACATGGTCCCAGAGCTAGAGAAGAGCAACAACGAGTGATAGGGGATGTGATCTTGAAGGAACGTCACCTCGAAAAACGGGAATGCATTCTATTCTTACCTGCGTTTGTGGAAGTGGTGCTCGTTGAGGTCGATGAACCCACTGGAGAAGCTACAACAAAAGCACCAACCAAAAATTTAACTTCTTTGCAACTGGTAAACTTATTACTACCAATTGAGAGCAATTCTCAATTAAAGATGATATTTGTGACAGAGATTATGCACGATGACGTGAAGAAAAGATGATGATGGCAAAGAAGTCTATCATGGGATATATCAGTGCTTGAGGAAAAAATAAATAAAAAAAGCTCAACGTGTTTATAAGTCTATTGGTATGGTGTATATAGATAGGTGATTACATGAACAGATGATTGAGTGGGTATGTATGTGGTTCAGGTATATAGAGTTGGGCTCAACGTATTTATAAGTCCATTGGTATGGTGTATATAGATAGGTGATTACATGAACAGATGACTGATTGAGTATGTATGAGGCGCAGGCATAGAGTTGGGCTCAACGTGTTTATGCGTCTATTGGTATGGTGTATTTTGATAGGTGATTACATGAACAGATGACTGATTGGGTATGCATGTGGCGCAGGTAAATAGATTTGGGCACGTGTTTGTGGTACAAATGGTGTGTATAGATAGGTGATTACATGAACAGATGACTGATTGCGTATGTATGTGGCGCAGGCATAGAGTTGGGCTCAACGTGTTTATGCGTCTACTTACTGCTGACCTGACGAGTCTGGCTCGTTTTCCACATAACGTCGTGGTGAATATTTTATTGACTTGCTGGGGATTCCACCAGGATGCCAGGTATGAGGCCTTTTAGTGGACACTGATTGCACCTGGGGGACTGTGGACACAATGAGAAGAACAAAGATTAAACTCTTTACTTTGGGCGTAATGTTTTCCCATTTCAGACCACGTGTCATTCTCTCGAG